CACCGGGCCACCGGCACCGTCAGCCACCGAGGGCCCTGCAAGGAACAGGAGAGGGCTCAGCTGGGCAGGCCAGCCCCTCTTGGGCGACCTGGTCTAGTGGAAAGTGTCCGTGCCCATTTCAAGGCCTGGAACTGGGTGAGCGTTAAGGTCCCTTCCAGCCCGAACCATTCTGTGATTCCATTAAATCAAACTCCGATTAAAAATTCCCCCACATCACAGAGATCTCCTGCTGTAAAACCCTCTCCAGTGCCCGGAGGAGCAACCAGCCACCCCAGGCATCCCCTCTGTGGCTCCTTCACACAGCTCCTCCTGCACATCCCTGCAGCACTGCCCGGGCTGGACTGTGGGGGACACACTCCGGACAGACCCCACTCCCCAGAGCTCTGCCTGCAGCAGGATCCATCATCTCCCAGCTCAAAGCCAGAGCATTTTCTGGGGCTCGTTAAACCCAGCAGCAGCTGAGCTGGTCACAGCCCAGGAGATGCAGCAATAATCAGCCAAGAGCACCCAGCACTCACCTGCACCCATCCCCAGCTGCGAAGGAGCCCAGCTCCACCAGCACCAGAGATTCCAGCCCAGCCCTGGCACTGGGAGGGCTGTGCCAGCTTAAGCCACGCTGGTTCCTACCAGCTCCACAGCATCTTTTTGAAAATCAAGGCTATTTCTTTCCCCACCTGCTCTTCCTCCAGCAAGCAGGGCCAGCCAGCAGGCAGCACAATATCCCAATTAGTGTACACTCACTCTTCCCGCTTGCAAGCAGCTACAGGGTACTTTGCTTGGCTCCTGGTCTTTTTTAATTGCAAAAGCTCCATGAAGTAGAGCAGAATTGAGACGTGGACAGAGGGAGGGGATGCCAGGTTAAGTTCTCTCCTGACAGGCAAAACCTTAAGTATTCAGGTCCAGTACCCCGGAGTCCGCTCGGAGAAGCAAGGCCACGGCTCAGCAGGCAGCAGAGAGCAGAGACCCCAGATTGTGCCATCCAAATCCCCCAGTGAGCTCCAAAACACAGCCCCTGCCCCAGCAACCCCTCAATCGATGCATGAACCGATAGCACAATGCTCACACAAGCCTGAGATCATCATCAAAGTGCCAACTCGTCCTCTCTGCAACCAGGTCCTGCCAGCACCCAGCTCAGAGCCCCGTGGTGGGGAAAAGCTGGGTATGACCACCCACCTCAGTGCCCCGGAGCATCTCCTGAAGGATGCTGAAGTCCAACCCAAAGTGCTGCCACAGGGCGCAGACGAGACCCAGGGAACATTCATCACCCCATATTTATACACGTCCTTAACTGCAGCAAGCCCTCTCCTTCCGCCTCCCTCCCGCTGCCAAGCAGGTCAGGGCTAATCCCTCACTTTGAAGGATGGGATGGCGCGGCAGGGGGGGAAGGCGAGCAGGATCCAGCCCCGGAGCAAGCGGAGAGAGAGCAGCAGCAGCTCACAGCTCACCTTGCGGGCAGGAGCGNCTCTCCCCCAGGCTGGGCCCGTGGGGACTTTGGCAGGGGCTGTGACAGTGCCGGCAGTGTCACCCACAGGGTGGCAGCGCCCCAGCCCTGATCCCGGCACAGGACTAATCCGCTTTGCCCTCGGGGACCAGATGGCGCCGCTAAGTGGGTCAGGCAGGAGCGGGGGACACCAGAGAGCGCCGGGCCCCACTGCGCTTCCCAACAGCGACAAAGTATAATCATCGGGGGAATGGGGTGAAAGAGGGGCCTGGACACGGCAGGGTTTGGGGGACACAGCCCCTGGGCTGGCAGCAGGGCAGGGCTCAGCCCTGTGGAGCATCCAGAGCCTGCTGAGCTGGTGGGGAAGAGCAGCAGCTGCTCTGCAGCCTCTGGGATGAACTTGCCCATGGCACAGCCATGTACCCTGCCTGCACCTCTGCCTATACCAGTCCCTGCACTGCTGCCTCACCTCCTGCCCAGCCATGCAGGGTTATTTTCCCCTCTCCAAACCAGAAAAGGGCACCAGCTCTCCCAAGAGTGGCCAACTGCTGCTGTTCCCAAGGTCCCATTGTCCCCAGGGGTCCCACTGACCCCACCAGCCCACACTGACCCCACTCTCCCCAGCGGCAGCATTGGTTTCCCTGTCTGTGTTGACTCCCCCTGCCTCAGAGACCCCTCCCAAACCAGCCCCAGCCCCTGTTCCCCGCTGCAATGGGGGAACCACAGGGTGGGACAGCACCCCCAGTCCCCCCCAGCCCAGCACTGACACCTCGGGAGCCTTCCATGCTGCCACCATCCACCGCTGCCCATCCCCTCCCAGCTGAGCCCTGCTGCGCCAGGGCTAAAAATAAATCCATCAATTTCTAGGAAAGCTCCTTGGAGAGCATGAGCGAGTGGGAGCACATGGCCAGGAGGAGCATGCGTGCTCCAGGGGAAGCAGCATCCTTGGGAGGAGACCGGGGGCCACCAAGCCCCTCCACATGGCCACAGCCAGCCCAGGACACCTGCAGCATCCCCAGGTTTTTGGTTTTTTTCTCAATCCACGTGAACATTTGTTTTTACCAGTCCACTGCTTCCCAGAGCACCCAGATGAGGGAAAAAGGGGAGTCAAAGCTGGGGCAGCACAGGACCTGCTCATCTCTGGAGAAATCACCCCCTTGCTAACCTTGGGGTGGGAAAGGATGTCAGGAGGGCTGAGGGCAGCAGCATCACCACCCATCCTGGGGACAAGGCACCTTTGTGACCGGGGTGTCAGCCAGGGGGACAAAGCAAAGCCGGAATAGCAACACAGGGCATTTATTTCTGCCCCAAACCCCGCTGTGAGCCATCACCCCCCTCCGCAGCGCTCCTCGGCCCCCAGAACATAATTGGGGACAGCTTTGCTGAGCCGCTAAGCTCCCGTTTAAGCAGCTGAGCGCGAGTGGCCGGATTTCCAGGCAGCGCATCCCTGNGTTTGGTTTGGGTTTTTTTTTGGTTCACTGTTAACGACCTTTTGGGTTCCTATTTGCAGTTACTTGAATAAAACATTTTATGGATGTTTGTGACCGGCCTCTGTCCCCGGGCCCTGGCTGGGTGGGGCAGGGCTGGCTCCTCCCGGGGCATCTCCTCCACAGGGACATCCAGCCATTCACGGGGATGGAAACACAAACAGGCAGAGCCCTGCTGCCCCCCAAACTCCCACCCAAGGCCGGGAACCCCCAGCCCCACTCGGAGCCCCGGGACCAAGGCAGAAACACGTTTATTTACCCCATTTTCCCCCAGGCATCCCGTGCCAGCAGAACCTGCTGCTCCCTGCCAGTCTGCCAGCCCCAGTGGGCCCTCCTGGGCTTTCCAAGGGGCTGCTGGAGCAGTTCAAGCAAAAAAACCACCCAAAAATGGCAAAACCAGGCACTGAGGTAGGAGATGTCCCATCCTGGTCAGTGCTCAGAGGTGGGGGCAGCGGCTGTGGCATCATGGCACCACTGTGGGCAGGTCCTGCCCGTTCTGGCTGATGGAACCAGTGCTGCCCCCGTGCTCCCTTCCCTCCCGCGGGCAGGATCCGGTCCCGGTGCTCCACGCAGGGTCAGGCCCTCCAGTCCCGGCGCGGGGGCCAAGGGGGTGTGGGTCCCCCCCAGCCGGGCACCACCTGCAACACAGAGGGACACACCTGCAGCCCAGGGCGGGGAATGCACTGCCCACGCAGCCCAACCCTCCCAAAAACCTCTGCTTTACACCCAAAGCCCCACTCAGCCTTCTTGGCGGCCTTTCCCAACCTCAATGATTCCCAGAGTTCCCTCGGGACAGGCACCTCACTTGCTGCTGCTGCTCCTTGAATTTTCCATGGAAAAATTGGATAAAGGCCAATTCCCAGCACAGCGACTCACCTGAGCCTCCTCAGCCTCCACCAGCAGCTCCTGCTCGGACTCGGGCGGCTCCTCAGCCGGGTCGTAGCTGTACATGGGCAGCAGCCGG